AGAGGAGGGCGGAGGGCAGAGGAAGGAGATGCGTGCGGTTGTACGTTACCGCTATTGGGCTGTTTTGTGTATTTGCATTTTCGCTTGCTTGAAGCTTTGATGCCGTACAGCGGTCCTGTCGTGTTGCGAGGTTGTGATGCTGTACGGCGGCAGAAGGTGTAGCGCACGTGTATCTATTATTACAAGTAACTTGTATCTATATTCATGCTGGTTTGGCTTTTGGCAGTTGCGCTAAAGAAACACCAAAATACTGTTAACATGGTGTATTGCTGCTGGACACTCTTCCATTGCGTATTCGTGTGTCAAATACCCCTAAAGCTTGGCCACCCCATATCACTGCACGTGCGACTGATGGGTTTGTGTGCGAAGGCGAGGGACTGGATGGGGCTGAAGCTCTCGACGGCGGCGGAGCCGGCATTACCGGCGGCGGCCGCGGCGGCGCTGCGGGCATGGACCGAGTGACGGCGCAGGCGCAACCATCCGAGGGGTCCAACGGCAGCGGCGACGCTTGTACGGAAACGGCCGCCGGCGGTGGCTGCGACGACGGCGCCGCTGACGACGACGCTGTGACGGGCGGACACGGCCAAGGCACACCTGGCGGGACGGAGGCGGACGGGGAAGGGGGTGCCGGGGGCGGCGGCGCCGGCGGTGGGGATGCGATGGAGGGTGTGGATGTACACGGCGGCGGGGAGGATGGTACGCCGTCGGGGGTGGAGCCGACGGCGGCGCCGCTGCCGGAATTCTCAGGTCTGACAGGTACGACGGAGTTTTGGTATTTGTCGTTGTGATGGTTATGATGGTTATGATGGTTGTGATTTCGGAATTATTTCGGATTCATCAATTGGAAGGATGTGTGGGTGGGGGTGGACATGGAGGCAAAGGGGGGATGCGGCCCCAACGAAGCCAGGACACAGTAATTCGTACAGGACGTCCCGTGCTTGTTTAAATTTACCGTACGATCGCATCCGTTCCAAAACCTGTTCCGCAGCAAATGGTAGTTGCCATAGCAAATGCCGTGTCAGATTTCGTGCCAATACATTTCGTGACGACAGCGAATGAAAATGCTGTTACCTGTTGTTGGTGGTGCCGGATGTGGTGCCGGATTGTGGGACGGCCCAAACGCAACTCTACTTTGTTCTGTGTAATGGTAGTAAGAATTCCTCCTCGTGACCAGTTCCGCAGCCGCTATGCAAGATGCAACGGGCCCTGCCCTCTCCTGCCCTCTCCCTCTGGAACCACTTACAGGCGATCTCGAAGCCGAACCGAGAGCTCCCGGAAGGGCGCCGCGTGGAGATGCCGCCGCCGCCGCCGCCGCCGGTGAGGATACGGCTGATATGGATGTGGACGAGATGGGGGATGGGGGGCCCGACGGCGGCGCCGCCACGACAGCTCCCAGGGGCGGCGGCGGCGGCGACGGTGGTGGCGAGGAGGAGGATATGACGGAGGCGCCCGAGGTACGGCAAGTTGGGGCGCAGATGGGGGTCATTGTCTGCTTGCTGGCCGCGGCTTGAGGCGGTTCAGTGGGGAACACATCGCCCTGGGATGAGGCTCATTGTCACCAGTCACCTGCTGGCTTGGTCACATGGAAATGTCCCCTCCGTAGCAAATGTCCCCTCCGTAGCAAATAGCCGTTACGGCCGTTGCGCCACGTCTCTCGCGCAAATACCCATTTGTTCTAGTTTTTGACAAAAATTCTCCGGAGTTTTTTTTCCGATTAAACCCAATTTCGTTTTATACTTACGTTGCTAAAACTATTTATTCCAAAGATGAAGATGTTTGCAACATCTCCTTTGCCAGTTTCCCCCCTTCCTTCATGTAGCCGCCCACAACCTCCACCCTTTCACTTGCCAGCCGTTGGTGCTGTGCATTCGGACATCGGCGGTTGGCCTTCCGCTTCTTGCATATACACACATGCATACACACACACGCACACGCATGTAATGCCCTCCCACGTCGGTAAAACCCCCCAACACACGGCCCATACAGGCGGAGGACTATTTGGAGCTGTGCGAATATATCCGGGGCCGTAGCCAGGTGCGATTGGATGTGCTGAGTGAGGGGGCGGGCGGTACGCGAGTCATCACTGCTTGCGTTAGAGAGGATGGAGCAGTGTACAGGAGAAACGTAGGCTTGAAGACCTGAGAAGCCAAACCTACAATCGTACAGAACGTACAGATACATACATGCATACATACGTACATGCATTGCGCATCGCTTTCCCGTCGTCAAGGCAGCGGCGGCCATTGAGAACTCTGCCAATTGACAAGGTTAATCCTACTCGTCCATCCCTCACTCGTCACCGTCACCGCTCTCGTCAACCCCCTCTCCCTGCATTCCTCAACTTTCATCCCTCCCCATCATCTCCCACTCCCCTAGGTCACGCTGCCGGAGCTGGCTCGGCAGTTCGGGTTCATGTCGCAAGCAGCGCTAGGGGGCTATGTGGAGCGCCTCAAGGCGCAGGGGGTGCTGGCGCAGGTGCCCGGGGCGAGATCCAGGTTCCGAGTGGTGACGCAGCCGGCGCAGTCGCGGCATGTGGCTGCCACCAAGGTACGCTACAATACACACACACGGGTTTTCAGCCTCGCATGATTGCCCTCCCCTCCTAACATCTGCTGTCATGCTGATTGCCGCCGCGAGGCCTTCTTACCCCCCCCCCCCACACACACACCCAGGGAAGGTTGTCCCGGGAGCACTGTGCGGCCGTCCCTTTACTCGCGGTTCCTTGCATCTCTCGCTTCATCACTCACCCCCCTCCCCAGAAAAACCCAAAACCGTCACACACACACATACCGGCGAAACCGGGCTTAGTTGTTGCCATCGTTGTCATTGTTGGCGAGAAATGCACACCTGTGCGATTTTTGGGGGGGAGGGGGACTGGACCAGAGGCAAATTGCATTGCGTCTTGTTACTTCATGCCGCCATCCCTCTTTCCTCCTCTACGATATGCTCTAGCATCTCGAGGCCCAGTCTGTGCCGCCGGAGGTTGAAGTCCCGGGGAGCAAGGGCGCCGCGGCGGCGGCGGCGGCGGCGGCGGCGGCGGCGGGGGAGGGCGGTAACCCCCGGAAGGGTTCTGGTAAGCGGAAGTCCGGCAAGGATGAGCCAGAGGACCCCGCGGCGCTGATCGCCAAACGCCTGGATGGGCTGTCCATGGACCCGGCCAACGGAAAAGGCACAACCGACAACGATGCTGTTGCAACCGACAACGACCTGCACCGGCCTCGCGACCAGACTGAGCGCGGCGGTAGCGCCGGTGACGCGGCCGCGATGCGCAGCCGCGGCGGTCGGCTGGACAGCGTGCAGGGCGGTAGGCGTGGTGGGGCGGGGACCGGGTCCGGGGACATGCAGTACTTGTGCTGCAAAACTTTGTGCTGCTTCGCTCTGGTCTTGCGAATGCAGGCCTTAGCGAAGGATGGTGCCGCTATTGGTGTATTAACCATATCGCCCCTCTTGAGGGATAGCTCTGTGACTTATCCGCGACTGAAGCACCGCAACTCAGGCACCGCGACTGAAGCACCTCGCCTCCCTGACGTGATCCTCTACTTTTCAGGTGATGAGCTGACGGGCATGACGGAAGCAGACGGGCCCCGGGACGCTGATCACCCTGCCGACCCAGGCACGGCCGGGGCTCCCAAGACTGCAGACGAGCCTCGTGTCTACATTGTGGACAGCCAGCAGTCCGGGCCAGAGCGTCTCAAGGGTAGCAGGTGGGAAAAGAGGAGTTCTTGGCAGGGGGGAAGGAGGGCTTTAGCCTAGGTAAATTAGCACGTCATAGGGCATCACCACTGGGCAAGGACTGCTCCTAGATAGCGCTCGATGTCGGTGGAAGACCTCGTCCAGCTTGTCACGGATACTTCCCTGCCGATGCTGCATGGCGTGCGGGGCCCGCAATTCAAACGATGAAAATATGCTCTCGAAATGACCCATGGGTCAGTTAGTAAAGGAAACTTGTGTTTTTCTGTTGAATATTCCGTGTACAGGGTGCGCAAGGCGTCGTACGTGGCGGACCCCATCCAGCAGGGTGAGGCCAAGAAGCCCAAGACGGCTCCAGGGTTGGCGGCAAACGCGGGTGCCAGTGGCGCCGCCGCCGGTGGTGGCAAGGTTGGCCCCAGCGCGCCGGCCGAGAAGGCCCCGGCGCCGACGCCGCGGGCCGCACGGGGGGGATCGCGCCTTGCGGGCATGAGGCGCTGATTCCTGCCAGACGTGCCGGCTCGGCACGCGGACCCTGCGCTGCAGAGCGCTTTGTTGGTTGCTCTGTATGTTTTGCAGCTTATTGCTACCGCTCATTTTAACCGCACGCATCGGAGCCAACGGCGGCTCCGGTTAACCGTGAAGATTCTCTTATGGACAGAAGATGCTTGAAGAATCTGATAGCAACTTTTTGCGATGCCTTTCTTCTGCTTATGCGCCCTGCCATTCCTTTTTTTTCCCTTGCAAGTACGTATCGGAACCTGTGGCCGGTGGTGCCGTGAAGCCCTAAGTGAGAAGCCTGGCAGTGCCCTGTTTGTTTCCTGTTTGTAAGCTTGTGTGTCCTGGCAGAGGTCGGCATGCCGTGACCTCCTTTCCCCCACCAATGAAGTTTGGGTTCTGGGACACAATCGAGAGGGAAGCATGTTGTGTGTATTTAGATGCAAAGGACAATCAATGTCACGGTCCTGCACTCTTGCGTGACGCGTGCTTACAGCTGTGCGTCCTGACTGCTGGTGGAAACTGCAACAGCAGGATGTGGCAGGATGTGCGGAGCTCCGTGTTGAGCGTGGCCGGGGGTGGGATGTCGCGACAGCGCAAGACGCGGTGTCATCGTTGTGATGGGGCTTCCAGGCCAACTAGAAAATCATGCTGTGGTTGTAGCTATGAGGGAAGGGGGAGTGAAAGCGCTTTGGGGTCTTGGCTTCTCGCTGGTAGTTCTGCCAAGGCTATAAATACCTGCGAGGCTTTTATTAGCACCTCATCTGGTAGGTGATACTTTTGGAGGGAGGCTCTGCCGGGTGTTCGAGGAGAATTCAGCAGTCATGAGCAGGGCGTCGGGCAGAGGACGCGGAGGGAACACTTCCATTCCACCTGTAACAAAGGTCCCCACGTGAATATTGCCAGTAGGCACAGGCTATTACAACTATATTGCAAAATCAGTGCACGTATGTATGGCCGTGCCCTCCGTCGACACATAGTCTCAAGAATGAGTGACCGGCACCGTGACGAACGTGCCAAGTGGACAAAGCAGGGCCAAATGGAGCTCGAGACAAAGACGTCGTTCGGCGTGCGCAGCCAGAAGGAGAGTGGCCCGGGTTACATCACTCAGTACTAACGCGGCCAATACGGCGGAAAGCGGAAGTGGGAGGTTCGTCGCCTCGGTAGCGGTTGGGTGTTGCAGCTTGCTGGGAACCCAAATCCAGGGCCGCCGCACATAAGGATGCTTGCATGCGTACTCCATTTGTAACGCTCGCAAACGGCTACCCTCCTCCCATCCATTTCAGCCCGTCCAGGAGCGCCGGCGCGCCGGGGCCGTTGGACTTTCAACGCCAACACGCCCGCGCCTCCAAACGCTGCGGGTGCATGGCCTCCTTAACCTTCCGCATTCCCACTGCCCACGCGCACAAGCAAAGGCAGCGATAGCGACGGCTGCCCTGGCGGCTCCAGAGGGATGGGCAGTGTGGGCGGCGCCGACACAGGCGGCGGCATCGCTGTTGCCCTCAGCACGGGTGGCAACACAGCTGCCAGGGGCAGCGGGGGCAGCACCACCGCCGTGGCTGGGGCGGGAGGTGGCACCGCTGCAGGCTGGGGCACAGGCGCCGCGCCGGAGTCAGCACCGGCACCTAGGGGTCTTCAGGCAACGGTGATTGGACGGCTCCCGAAGCCTCGACGATGACCACCACCTTCCTCCACCCGCAGCACTGAGGCCACGACCCCGAACAGCACTACCGACCTCACCTCCCTCTGCCGCTTAGACCCGAGATCGCCGCGAGGATTAAGAAGCTGACGTTGCGGGGAACACATTCCGAGGCGCTGCAGGCGGAGATCATGTCCTGGGGGCCATACGACTGTCCCGCAGGCGGGGTGCCGAACAGGTCAGACCCCTCGACTCACGGTCCTTCCCTAAGGGGGAGACAATTCGCAACCTGCAGCAACGGGCGGCACGGGAGCAACGGCTACACCAGGTCGACCGGTCGCGCATTTCGCAAACTTATTTTGCTGGCGCAATGCCGTTTAGCACATTTTGCTACGTAATTTTACAAACGTGCGAAAGAGACGGTGCAGAAGGAGCGGGAATGCTCCCCTCTCGGACTGTGCACCTCCAACAACTGTAGCGCAGCATTTACTTTTGTCGTAAATCTCTTATGCATTGCATATCCGATGTCTTGGGAGAGTTGCAACACTCGCACCAATCCTTCCGCGCCACTATAATATGGCCACGGGACGCGCACAGATGGTGGTTGATAAATAGCAGTTGGCCATTGAATCCGCCCTTCAAGGATTAAAGTTTCCGCTTAAAACACAGCTTCACGCAGAAACACACACAAGCATACGCAACACACACAAAAAAAACACAAAACACACAAACAAACACAACACACGTAGACTGCCAACCAACAGGTGCCTCTAGCCTCAGGCCTCTTCGCCCTGATGGAGGAATCAAATCACACGATGACAGGGGAGTTGTGGAACACGGCAAGCAATATGCATACGGGATACCGTGCATGCCAAACGCACATACATACATACGTTCGCACCTACCTACGGCAACATGCATCGACCTTCATCTAAGTGAACACCTAACGGGGTTTTGCAAAATCAGACTCTTTTTATAAAGTGCCTAGGCATTTACGATAGCCTTGCCAGTACATGCTCACACAGATAATAGCTGCATACATACATACTTTGTATTGGTCGCATCCACATAGCCACAAATGCACGCACCCGAATCGCTGAACACAGAGGCGAAGAAACAGACAGACATACGGAGGTTTGGACAAACGGATAGAAGATATGGTTTTACAGACATACGACTCACACGCGAGTCCGAGCAAGTGAAAATAAGGGGCCCACTTGAATACGACAAAACACATGCCACATCATGCCGGGCCCCGCAAGCCTTTCCCCTGGGCAGGAGATATGGCAAACCAGCCACGAACGTCAAGGCGGTGCACAGGACATCCACACTCGCAGGCAGCAACGGCCGCAGAGGCGGGAGGCGTGTCAATCCGCTTCACGCCACATGTGGGCCCAGGCCCCAGCCCAGGCCCCAGTCCAGCCGTGCCACATCCCTCACCTCCACAGAAGCTCAGAGCCCACCGCAGCGCAGCCCTAAGGTGCTGAGTTCTCCTCAGCAGCCAGTAGAGGCCCAACCATCGCCCACGGCCCACGAGCAATTCACCGAAAGGAAGAAAGCCCCTTCCAACAGTTTGAAAAGCTCTTTCGAACTATCATTTGGGTGCTGACTACCATCGGGTAATAAGACGAATCGTACGCAGGTTCACGGGACCGAGGACAAGATACAACCAAATAATCTGTAGCAAGTACGACCCGTAGGGAGGGATTTCCAAAACCCTTCATAATCCCCTGCCTCACCTAGACTCCATACTCCCCCTCCCTTGAGCGCTAGGTTCAGCAATAATGTCACGCTCGTTCAGACACAGGTGTGGACACTCGTTCCATCACCTTTCGAAACTCATTCCCCTTCATTACCCGGACGTCCTCGAAACAGCAATCCAGGGCGAACACCTGCAGTGGCTGGCGGTGCAGCGCCAAGGATAGGAACCCTTAACATTCACCATCCCAGATCCCTTAAAAATAAAAACCCCTTAACAAACGCAACACACAGTTTAAGCCCAGTACTGGGCGAACTAACGTTACTATTACCATTATTACCAAATAATAGGGGCATCTAGCGAGCATCTTATACTTGACCCAAAGCCAGAGGACATTTTCCCAATGGGGCCTCCCTACCTCCCCTGACTCCCTCATCATCCAGTACAGCGGGGATCAGGAACGCTGACACATTCTTCAACTTGAGAAGTGTCGTGTCGCACAAGTAGCTATGAGTAGCTATGTAATGTAAGCACGTGTACAAGCTCTTAGCGGCTTACGTACGTTGTATATATGCGCGAATGTCGCACTAGGCACACCACAGCGCGCAGCACATTTGCGACTCACGCAAGGTCGTCTTCTCGACTTCTCTGTCAGGCAGCACCGCACGGTGCGCCTTCGGCAACGGAACGCAAACCCCGTCCAACAACGTAGATAACCACAACCACCACTACGCACTACCTAACTGGCAACGAAGCCATGTAACCACACGGGCATGTAATGTGGCTAACATACACAACGGTGGCTCCTTCTCCTCACAACTCTACCAAGCGGAGTAAGAATCGTACGACACACTCCTTGCCTGTCGTCACCTAGTGACGAGAGGACATAGATATCTATACTGTGTACGGCACATACAGAGGGAAGGGCTGGGGTCGCCCGCACCTTGCCGCCACATTTGCAGGGCGCGATCGAGGTTTGGGCACACTCGGGCCCCTCGCCCCCTGGAGACATTGCTGTCGTCCTGGACGAGGGTGCGTCGTAAAAAAAATACTTACACACAGCACGCACGGCATGTTACGGCACAAACGGCTCGCGGCATTCTGGTCCATTCTTTGAACATACGTAAGAAAACACGCTCCGACACGCTCCGGCTCCCGATCGAGGCAGGGCGTCTGAAGTCCCTGGGATGGACTCTGGCGCATATTCTGCCCGCAAAAAGAACCGTAAGCCGAGTAAGGTCCAAGCGAACAACGAGTCTTATGTATACAGTGGAAGAACATATGTACTCCGGAAAGTATGAGTTAACGGCACGCACAGTACCGTAACCAGCAGCGCCATAGCAGCTAAACGGACAAACGATTTACTGAGGCCAAGTGTGTTGGGCCCACACCAGGACATGCATGCCGCCGGGCAAGGCATGCTTGTTGTACGACTACTCATACCAATGTACGGCACGTTTGATTGTCGTCGACTGTGAGCTCTGAAACAGGGAGAGCCATGGCCGCTACGGCCGTCGCCTCAGATAAGATTTGCTGGGCAACACGTGTTGTCGGAGTTGAAGATATTTGCCTGCACAAAGGAAAAAAGGAATTTTGTGGGTTTGGGATGTCGGGTTGGGGAGACAGAAGCCGAGCTTAGTCATCGGGGGTGGGGGATAGCCATGTGAACGAGGGAGGAGGCTTGCAGACTCATACCGCAGGACTCATCACCGCCATGTCCCGACTGCGGGATCGCAGTGAGGTCGTTTTCTATCTCCGTTTACTGCTATTACTACTACTATTACTACTGCTATTACTATTACTATTACTACTACTATTACTATTACTTTTATTACTACTATTACTACTACTATTACTGATATTACTACTACTATTACTGTTACTACTATTACGACCCCACCACATACCTGGCAGCTGCCCTTGTAGCAGAATATGGAAGGCTGTGCACACTCAGATGGGGACACATACCTGCACCCCAGGCAGGTCGGGGGAGGGCCAGAAGGGGGCGGGGCGGAGGCAGCTAGCCGGTCAGGCAGGGCTTCCACCAGCTGCAAGGTTCACTATAGGTAATAATTCATGCGGTATCCAGTAAAGCACCAGAAATACTCTAAGTTACAAAGGTAGCAGTACCGGCACCCGCACACCCGCGATATGAAGGCACAAGCCAAGTAGCTCACCAACACAGAGTCGCTCCATAGGGCTTGGGCATGGCCCTGCATGTTACCGATGAGTAGTAGTAAGGGAAAGGGGAGCACGGGGTTGCAGATAAAAGGTGGGAGATGCAGAGGAAAAAGGACGTCGGGGTGGGTTGAGATTGGACGGCCCTATGTACACCGGGTGCAATGGCTGCTTGGCTACGCATATGTGTGTCCAGCGTGCGTGCGTGCGGTCCTGCTTGCTTGATGGGCCTTTCATGCACAACGCCGGATGGTATTTTACTGTTTGCCCTACTGCTTAACGCCACTCATAACGAGCTATCGGATAACGCTTATAATGATTTCTCAATTCATGCATGTGAGCGAACTGAGGTAGGGGGTAGGCGCCGTGCTACGTGCGCACTCCTGCGTCGTCAGGGCAATGCAGCTGATGGGGCAACACGCAGCTGCAGCAACACAACACCAGATACGGTGTAACATTACTGCACTGGTGGCGGTGGTAAAGGCACTACTGATGACTGCAAACTGAGTTGTATATGGCAGGGCGGGGGTTCACCCACATGGCTACGAACTCTGCAATAGAAACCCCAACGGTCCCCTGCCGTGCCAGGCCGCACTCCTACAAGTGCAGGTCTCCGCCCCTGCCATGTGCAGGCACCCTACTTGGTGCCGTACACCAGCCACGGTCCACTTCTGAAACCAGCCGAGGACATCAGGCGGTTTCTCTCCCTTTTTTTCACCTCACCCGGTCAACTGGGTAAACTTGAGCGCGATGAAGCGGTCGTAGTTGGCCCAAATGAACGGAATAGTGGCACCGTTGACGGTAATGCGCCGGACCTGGCTCTTACAGTCCGGGTTCATCAACACCTCCATCTGCAGCAGGACGTCAAAAGTGTTGTGCGTTTTGCGTCGCAGCGAAGAGTTCATCGAGGATGCGCGCGGACGGAGGATGCGCAGGGCCTCAGTTGCGGGCAGGAGATGAAGAATGGAATACATGAGGGCCTTATAATATGTGGGTGTGGGTGTCTATGTTACACCTTATGCGTGTGTGCTGCGTGTTGTTTGCTGTTTTCATTTATCAGGGATGTAGCTGTACACGCACCCACGCTGTGATAATTGGGGGGATCTTTTGGCGTTTGCAGTAGCTGGCCGCCGATAAGGCCTCTCGAGATGCTGGGAAAAACAGCCTGTCTATGTATTGGCGACGTGTGCCGTACTGTACGACAGCTACTACAGCATTACAGCGACAGGTGCATGGATTGCCCGTTTTCCCCTTTTTAAACACATGGCTCGGGCACGAGCCCGATTCTGTGACCCGAGACATGAAACGTATAGTGAAGTTTACTAAGCATGCGGCACCCACTCGCCCGTTCAAACAAAAGAAACAAGCAGCAAGGAAATAAGTAAGAAAAACCAACAAAGAACAAATGACGGAACAACTTAGAAATAAAATAAAGTTACAAGTAAAGAAACAAAAAAGGAAATAAGTAAAAACGGACGGCTTGGCAAACGAACAGAGAAGAATCATGAGGTGGGGAAACGGTCCCCGACGAATGGATGACGACCCGAGCCATCGCCACTGTTTTGATTCTCTCTGATGCTCACCTTGAAAAAGTCCATGCGGCAGCACGACGTCGCATTACCTCTGCACACCATCCGGGAGACCGTCGTACACATTCCCTTTGCGGGTTTGCCGTGCAGATCGGTGCCGTCAACGACCTTTATCTTGCTAAGCTTGAAAGGTACACTATCCGTCACTCGGGCGCAGCTGTGTGTCTGCATATTGTTGGAACGGCAACACGAAGGCAACCCGGGTGGAGCTCCATAAGAAGTGCGTGCATGTGCGTTTGTGCGTGCGTCTGTCGAGAGAGGGGAAAGAGAAATGAAAGAAAAAGATACAGATAAAGGGCCAAAGCGACTAAGGGAAGAAACAGATGTACAGAGACTGGTAGAGGAAGACTAGGACGGAAACCTAAGACACTATCACATCGCGACCCACCCTCACGACTGGCGACGGTGGAACAGGCGGCGGCGGCCAGGAAGTGTACGGCACCATCGGAAAATCTGGCGGGTAAAACGGCTCCGATGGGGGTTCCGGCGGCATCGATGGAGGCAACGGCGGAGCGGGGGGGACGGCTGGCGGGCTGGGTGGGGAAGGAGGTGAGGGCGGCGACGGTGGCGGCGCAGGTGGCAACGGAGGTGATGGTGGTGAAGATGGAGGTAACCTGGGGGCCCTTGGAAAGCGAGGTGGCACTGGCGGCCTGGGAGGACGTCGAGGTGGCGACGGTGGTGGGGACGGCGGTGGTGGCGGTGAAGGTGGTGATGGTGGTGGGGATGGCGGCGGTGGTGGTGAAGGTGGTGATGGTGGTGGGGATGGTGGAGGTGGTGGTGAAGGTGGTTCGGGTGGTGGGGATGGAGGAGGTGGTGGCGACGGTGGTGGGGATGGCGGTGAAGGTGGGGATGGTGGTGAGGGCGGTGGGGATGGAGGCGAAGGCGGTGACGGTGGCGATGGCGGAGGCGATGGAGGTGAGGGTGGTGAGGGCGGTGAGGGCGGTGGAGATGGAGGTGAGGGTGGTGAAGGTGGTGGGGACGGCGGTGGTGGCGGTGAAGGTGGTGATGGTGGTGGGGATGGCGGCGGTGGTGGTGAAGGTGGCGACGGCGGTGGGGATGGTGGAGGTGGTGGTGAAGGTGGTTCGGGTGGTGGGGATGGAGGAGGTGGTGGCGACGGTGGTGGGGATGGCGGTGAAGGTGGGGATGGTGGTGAGGGCGGTGGGGATGGAGGCGAAGGCGGTGACGGTGGCGATGGCGGAGGCGATGGAGGTGAGGGTGGTGAGGGCGGTGAGGGCGGTGGAGATGGAGGTGAGGGTGGTGAAGGTGGTGGGGACGGCGGTGGTGGCGGTGAAGGTGGTGATGGTGGTGGGGATGGCGGCGGTGGTGGTGAAGGTGGCGACGGCGGTGGGGATGGTGGAGGTGGTGGTGAAGGTGGTTCGGGTGGTGGGGATGGAGGAGGTGGTGGCGACGGTGGTGGGGATGGCGGTGAAGGTGGGGATGGTGGTGAGGGCGGTGGGGATGGAGGCGAAGGCGGTGACGGTGGCGATGGCGGAGGCGATGGAGGTGAGGGTGGTGAGGGCGGTGAGGGCGGTGGAGATGGAGGTGAGGGTGGTGAAGGTGGTGGGGACGGCGGTGGTGGCGGTGAAGGTGGTGATGGTGGTGGGGATGGCGGCGGTGGTGGTGAAGG